GTATGTGTATATGTGTATATGTGTATGTGCGTATATATATATATATATATATAGCGAGAGAGCGAGCTAAGTGGTTTAGCCATAAACTGACTATTAGCGTATGTTTTAACGCGTTTCCAGGCAACAAGAGGCCGGTGACGTGAAGATGCTGCGCAGGAAACCCACGCGCCTGGAGCTCAAGCTGGACGACACGGAGGAGTTTGAAAGTGTCAAGAAAGAGCTGGAGGTAAAACCCAGGTGCATTTCACGCAGGACTGGATGTTTAGGAGATGCTTGCTTTCCATACAAATTAGCGTACTGTACAGAAAAGAACATTGAAACAACAAGAGGTAAAGGGTTTTCCACACAATACACATTTTTCCATGTGAAGTCAGGTCACATTTATTTCAAGAGCGTTTTATACCGTACAGATTGTTTCTAAGCAGCTTCACATTAATAAACCAGAACATAACAGTGTCAATCTTGCACATTTCTGCAATTATGAAACCAGGTCAAGTTGGTTATAAGCAGCTCTACAGCAGACATTAGTGTCTTTATTCTGTTCAAGTCCGTTAAAGTGAAGTGACCCAGACTAGGAATTAGTGCTCTGCATTTAACCCATCCAAAGTGCACACACACACCGTGAACACACACACACACACCCGGAGCAGTGGGCACCCGGGGAGCAGGTGGGGGGTCGGTGCCTTGCTCAAGGGCACCGCAGTCGTGGTATTGAAGGTGGGAGAGAGCGCTGTACATTCACTCCCCCCACCTACAATCCCTGCCGGTACGAGACTCGAACCCCGCAACCTTTGGGTTACGAGTCCGACTCTCTAACCATTAGGCCACGACTTCAGTTCACTATTGATTTAATTCAGTTCAATAACTGTGTGGATGTTGTGAAGGTTGTGTCATTATTCATGCAGCAGTGGTTGCAAAGCTCCATCAGAAAAGGAGAAAACAAATCTTTGGGAGAAACCAGGCTCAGTCGAGCCATAAGCAGCAGGGAAAACAAGCTAAAGAACTGAATACTACTTTTGAAAAAGGATTAAAATTACGTACTAGAATAAGCTGGTTCATCCGTATTTTTCCTACACTCCACGACGCTCTGCGTGAATTATGAGAGTACCTTTAAACAATCAGTGAAAGTTTCACTCTATGAACGCAATAAGCATTTTCAAAAACTGGGTACAGTGAGGTGACATTATTCTACTGCCCCTTCGACCACTGAAAGGGAATTTAAACCTGGAATGAGACGTGAGGATTTGGAGAGAAAAATGAGAGATTCTTAGTGCATTCCAGTGAATTATTCACGGGACATATATCACAAATGAAATCGGAAAAGCAGACCACAAATGCGCAGTGTATGTTGATGAAAATAATCATGAGTGAAAAAAACACAGCAGACTGAAAAGAGCTCGTTATACCAAGTCACGTTAAAATACCAAGTGTAACGCTATTCTCCTGACGTCAGG